GGGCCCCTGCGTGCCGCAGGCCAGGAGATCGGCACGAGCGTACACCTCGCTGCCTGGACGCTGGAGATGCCCACGGGGCAGAGCTGGCACCCGGCCTCCTGGGGCTGCGGCTGGGATGGGGCAGCCTGTGGGCTCTGCGAGGCTCAGACCCACTCCTGCCCCGGCCTCTCCTGCTGCCCTCGGGGATCCTCTGAACACCAGGTTGGCACCGGGACGCGCCGGGCGCCGGAGTGACACTGGCCAGAGGAACACTACCTCCAGCCCGGAGCGCGATCAAACAATCAGAGCAAAGGCATCTAACCAAATCCTCCCGCCACCCTGGGAGACCACCCAGCAGCACAGCCGTTATCTGCCAGGGTGAGTGTTTACCAATAACGGGAACCAGCTTGCTGTTTTACTGCGAGCTTTATAAGGATAAAAAGAAGGGCTGGGCTTGAGCAGCTCTGAGACGCTGGGACACAGGCCGGCCATTTGCTCAGGCTGCCTAAGCCCCAGCTCAGCTGGGATAAGCTATCTGCTCTGATTGTTTAACAATTCCTCCTCCTTGCTCCCTCCAAAATTCCCTCCAAATCCCATTTAACACCCGCCTGCCTCTCCCAGCCGCTGGCACCCCCAAATGCACCAGGAGGAGAGGAGGTTGCTGAGCGCCGTGGGCAGAAAGCTGGCAGGAAGGGAGAAGGGTGACACATGCCGAAGGAACACTGGCCGCAGCTGGGACGAGACAGGGCAGGATGGAGGCCAGCCCCACGGCACGAGCCGCCTGGCTCCAGACCACACAGGCATTGCGGGCACGTGGGGCACGGAGAGAGGGAGCCGGCACGGAGAGACAGCCTGCGCTGGGGGAGAGGGGAAGCCCCCGCCATAGCGCTGGCCCTACTCACCGATCAAGGGCACCACCAGGATGAACTTCCTGCAGTCCAGCAGCACCGTCAAGCTACTGAGGTGGTCGATGAAACCGTTGGTGTCTGGGACCAGGAAGACAGGTCTGATCTCCAGCTCCATCTGCCTCATTTGACTCTGGTCTTTCAGCACGGCCTGGAGGAGAAGGACACATGATGAGTAGGTAGGACATCAACCCTACGGCCTGTGGACCCTGAGAGCAGAAGATAAGCCTGGCTGGCACGCACGCCTCCGGTAGTGAGGGCATCGTGTGAAGGAGACCAGCAGGAGGCTGCATCCACCCCACCTGCACACCTCAAACACCAACTCTTGCAGGTCCACAGCACACACGAGTGGGATGGCTCATGAGAGCGCCATTCAGTGAGAGCACTCTCTTAGGAGAACAGCCCTGTCCAGGCTCTGGAGAGAACAACTGGGACCAGCCCTGAAAATGGAGGTGTTTCGGGAATTGTCCCATTTACGGGACTCGCAGCTGCCAGGACTATCTGTGCTGGTGCCAAGAGACCGACCCTGATGCAAAACAGCGGGGAGAAAAGGGGGCTGGAGGAAGCAGGTTCTAGGACTCCAGATGGAAACAGCTCAAGGCGACAACAGCCAAAATGAACCCGTTTGGGACACACAAGTCCTGCCAATGGCATCCTAACACAGGGACCCCAAGCAGGCAGCAGGAGGGGAGGTCTGTGGGGCGGGGATGCTTGGCTGAGTATCTAACTCACTGTCCCACCAGCTCCCGCACGTGCCTTGCCTTTTCTGACTCCATCCAGCTGGGAAACCAGGTGGATTCCAGCCCTGGAAACCCACAGCACTGTCCTTGGCTGAGCCCTTTGCACCCGCTGGAGACCAGAGGTGCTTGCACATACATGGGAAGGGTCTGCTGGGTCTTACTAGCAACCCTGCGGGATTGCACCTGGACCTCTGGACAATGCCAGGTGCCAAAATGGGACCCAAGAGTTCACATACTACTTTCGACGCTATCGAAGGACTTGGGCTCTTTAGTAAGTCACAGGCTTAAAAAACTCAGGATGCTATTCTAGTGCTTCCTCTGCTTAAAAATAGCTTCCCTGGACTCGCTGATGTTTGTTGCCTCCAATAGGAACTGGTCACCCACGGAGCACAGCAGCACTGCTGTGGAACGCATCCACCATGCAAACCCTTGAGACAGCGGGCTCAGACCCACAAGATGCGCCCCGGGGACCGGAGGCGACTGCTGACCTGTTCTGCCCAATGTTACAGGGAGCTCCCCCTGCCCAGGGTGAGGATCTGAACCCTTCCGCAGTCATGCCAAAGCCTCGGAGGCACCCTGGAACAACGAGCTGCACGGGCAAGCAGTGGCCATGGAAAGAAGTGGTTTTTAATCCATTTCCAAGTGTTGTCATCTGGCTTTAAATCAAGGCAACTTGATGCTGCCACAAGTGTCTCCAGGCAAGGCAGCAACCATAACCTCACCATGTGCCTCCCACCCGTCTCCTGGCAGTGCTGGTCCTGGGGCCGCGGCTCCGATCGACTCTGAGGGGAGATGGGCGGAGCGGGGAGCGCGCCAGGTCCCGTCTGCTGCATGGCAGCACTGAGCCGGCATGACAGCATGAGGATATGCGTGCCCCATCGCGCGGGGGCCGCTACAATGGCACCAGCGTCCCTGTACAGACGCTGCCATGGTCAGCCACATGCCGGCTGCCCTCCCTGCTTGCGCTCTGCCTTCACCCAGGGAGGTGTTGGTACGCCCCGGTGGCATGGGAACCCTGTGTTGGCAACCCCGGCACGGCGCTGCCGCTGCCTCCTCACCGTGAGGAGGGTGGCAGGTGGGGTTTCTCCCCAGGTTTTGGGGGTGTGGGAGGAGACACTCGTCCCTGGGAGGCAGCAGGCCCTGCTGAGCTCC